CTGATGTTGTATTGTTAGCTAGACATTATCATCATCAAGTGCCAGATCTGCGACAGACATCAGCGATCATGGTTCTCCATTAATTTCTTTGCCCATAAGCTCTTTAAAAAGCTATGTTACCCTGATTTTTCCCCTTTGTTATTCATTTGTTAAGGTAATGTAACTAGATTGCTCTGGGCCTACCCCTGCCTCGTTTGACTTCAATTTTGCCAGTGAGAGCAAGATGTTCAAGACTTTTAGACATGCAGTCGAATTAGTCCACAGCGGCCACCCGTTGTCAAAGAACACTGTGTACGTCTTTGGTGTTTAGACGTCTTGGGCAGCGCCATAAAAATATTATAGAAAAACGCAATGGGAAATGTGATGCGGTCGTTAATACAGGTAATCGTCTTGGATGGGAGGTCGTTAGAGCAGGTGGAACTTTTATTCTCAGCTCACAAAGACGTTCAACTTAAAATAAAACAGCAACTACGTCATTATTTGGATGTTCCAGTTATTATTATTTTCATTTCTTGCCTCTTTTTGTTTTTGTTTTTTTCGGGATGGTTTTGGGGAGGGGGTGATTATTAAATCAAAGTATATGATCGATTAAGTTCATTGGTAGAGCGTTCGAATTTCCTATATTTCCTTCAGGAATTTTAACGAAATTATTGGAGAGGCGGATGAAATTTAAGTGACAAAAGAACACATAGCAATTGCAAAAGAAAGAAAAATGAAAACAAGAAAATTCCTAAATAATCATAGGCAAAAAATGTTAATGATACTCAGTGATAGAAAGGTGTCTCTTGACGCTTTCCGGTCCGTCGGTTAATTTCTGTTTCCTGCTGTCTACGTTTCGCTCTCCTATTGAGATTCTCCATTAGTGTGCCATTCTGTTAATTTCCTTCTCAGACAAGTTAACAAAAGCTCCACCCCCTCCCACTCCCCCCCCCTCTCCTTGCCCCCTCTCTCGCCTCCCCTAACCTCCGTCTCTGTCTGTCTGTCTGTCTGTCTGTCTGTCTGTCTGTCTGTCTGTCTGTCTGTCTGTCTGTCTGTCTGTCTGTCTGTCTGTCTGTCTCTCTCTCTCTCTCTCTCTCTCTCTCTCTCTCTCTCTCTCTCTCTCTCTCTCTCTCCCTCTCTCTCTCTCTCTCTCTCTCTCTCTTTCTCTCTCACCAAGTAACATCTCTCTCTCTCTCTCCAATCCTTACCTTCTTCCCCCTCTCTCTCTCTCTCTCTCTCCTCCCCCCACCCCCACTCCCGTACACACACACACACACACACACACACATACACACATACACACACACACGCGGGCATGCGCGCACAAACACCTGGCTTTACTCAGACGTTTTCAACTGAGTTTGTAAAAGAGTATTTCGCAAACACTATTTCTGTAGCGACGCGTTAAAATCAGGCGCTCATCAGTTTTTGTGCTCGTAGAGTTATTGGTCTAATCTTAACACCTGTGCATGTGTATTACTTTTGATGAAAAATACCCTTCTATTGAGAAAAGAAATCGAGAGTTTTGTTTAAATGAAAGAGGTGAGGGATGCCTGGTGTCAGAGTCAGAGGTATAATTAGCGCGAAAATGGCCGCTAACGTTTAGTGACTTTCTAAGTTTGAGTGTCTTTGAAAAATGCAAATTTGTATTTTCTTTCACATTTGTTCAACGTTTTTCAGTAAAAATCCACTCAGAAATGCGTTTCAAAATTGACATAAGGGGTAGCAAGAAACTTAAAAATTTTTTAATTGTTTAAAAAAAAGTAATTTTAAAAAATAGCAAGATACAAAATGACCAGCTGGCGGAAACATGTCAGTTTCTTTGATTTCACTATCTTGACGAGCGCCTGATTTCTCCACGACTCCTTACGTTTGATGGACTAGCCCCGATTACATACTACACATAATACGAGATACTATGACTGTATCAAGTCATGCCTTATGAAACTAAATAATTGGCAATAGTATTCTTTTCCAGTTACATTTTTTTCAGTGAATAATACGTTTCCTGCTGGGTGTCTGTCCACTGCATAACCGTCTCATGTCTCTGGTCAGTAGCCCCGTCTGTATATTTAATAAACAGACATGCTTTGTCAGATGATTTGTTCAGTTCAGCTACCCGCCATGAAGCAGCCAGAACAGAAAGGACGACATGCTAAGTTCAACCGCTCACTATCGAAGAGCCAGAACAGAAATGACCTGATAACTTCAACCGCCCACTATTTAGTCATTAGAGCATAGAGTAATTATTTCAACCACCTACTATTTAGTCATTAGAGAGAAAAAAGGAAATGCTTAGTTCAATCACCCACTATTTAGTCGTTAGAGAGGTTTCAGACCTCATAACGATTTCACGCAGACAGTCGAAATCAATTGATCGAGTAGGGGTCAAACAGAATATTCCTACACGGATGGGGCAAAAGCTACAATAGGTTTGGCCTGGGGCAGTTCAGTCGAATTCGTCCAAATTCCACTGTGTGTTTCAAATCAAAGGCGTTTGTTTTCAAAGTCGATAGTCGAATCGATCACATAAGTGCCGAATATAAGTGATTAGCCGTGTTATTATATTAAGGAGTATAATTTCTTTCAAAGGAGGACGATAACACGGTGGCTGATCAATATGAAAGAAGGTACAAACAGTACCCACCAACCACCTATATCGTGTTCCAAGAGCCTGTTTTCTAAGAGATTCGAAAAAAGGACATTCGCACCATAGTACAGTATGATACCAGCTCAATGTCTTCTTTATAGTTTCTTTTTAAAATGTTTTTTTCCCTCGTGTCCCCCTTTTCAGTAGTTGCCATGTTGATGATCTTATTCGCTTCTGACAATCATTGATCATGAAAATTACAGTTAGAACTGTGACATTTCGACACTAAAATAGAACAATGAGAAATTAATAAGTACAACATGATTCTTGTTGAACCAACCGAAAATACTATTATATTTATGTCTTGAACGCATGGGTATTACTTGGGTTTTTTAAATGTTTATTTAAAAAAATAAATTGAGATGCGACCTGACCTTATCAATGATAAAACGATATACCTCCCTCCCTCTCTCTCTCTCTCTCTCTCTCTCTCTCTCTCTCTCTCTCTCTCTCTCTCTATCTATCTATCTATCTCTATCTATCTATCTATCTCTCTCTTTCTCTATCTATCTATCTATCTCTCTTTCTCTCTCTTTCTCTAATTCTCTCTTTCCTTCTGTACCTCCATCCCCACACACACACATATAAATACTCTCGTGCGCAAATAAATACATATACACGTTTGAACACATGCACACGCCACACAGAAACATATTATACGAAGGATCATACAAACTTACTCCCACGCAAACACATATACGCAAAAACCATCTTTAGCTGGTTCGTACCCCCCCCCACCCCCACACACACACCTCAATCAATTTTTCTCCTCTGTGCGTCACAAGGAACTCAGGCAAAGAGAGGAAATTCAACTTTTCAAAAAGTATCACGTGGAGCATGGAAGCCGTTAATGATTTACCCGTCTCAAATTCTAAGCTTTACTTAAAGTGAAAAATAATGTTCGTCTAATGTTTATTCCTGGTGTTACGGGAAAGTAAGCAAACACATTTAATTGTCTCAGCCAAGCATTAACGTTGTAATTAGAATTGTTAACAATAAAAAATACGGCCAATTTGTTACGTGATTCAGACAATCAATTCATGAACTACACGCTTTATGTGGGTCTGTAAGAGATATTATACAAGCTCAGATTTTGCATATAATCCTGTTTGTAATCTAAACTTAATAGTAGGCTATATTGTCTATCATGTAAGGAGTTTTGAAAAATGAGCTTCTCTTGATAATCGTCGAAAAAGGATATCGGTCGATTTTAAACTGATGCCATTTTATGTTCTTGTTCAAATTTAATATGTCTATTATCATTCCATACCTGTAAATTATACAAACTTTGTCCACGGGGGTGAAATCACAGAAGTGACTACTTTTGTTATGACTCCGCAATAACCATTTTGGGATAAAGAGAAATAAACTGCTTCTTTCCAACAATTGACTGTGAAAGGCTTGAATTTTAGCACACTCAATTGATTTTATATTTGGATTAATTTTTTGGTCCAAGTGAACTATATTACCAAGTTGGGTCTGCCATTCATTTCAGATCCAAAAACTCCAAACCGACCAAATATGACCAAGGCAATTGTCTTATGAATAAAAGCGAAATATTCTATTTGATACGTTTTGATTTTGTGCACCAGAAAACTCTTGCGTGTTCAAATAGATTATAGGGACTCCCCTTCCCCTCCCACCTTTCCTCCTTTTCCGCCTTCCTTTTCATGATTGGGATTAGAGGCTTCATTAATTTAAATTCACAAATAAACCAAGCGCAGATGAGTGCAAAGCGTAGATTAAACCCCCGTGCACTCCTATGACCTGATGCAGTTGCGGCGAGCGTCGTGAGAATTTTACTGCTCTGAATAAAAAGCTAAACTGTGAATGTGAAGTAATTGTAATAATTGAGGTGTGTAGACGTCATCTCTTGGCCAAAAACGTGGAACTTGTACTGCGTCTCTCCGGGTTTCGCCTTCCCCAAATCCCTTCATCCCCCTCGATGCTCTTCACCCATTTCCTCCCCACCTTTTTCTCTACCACCAAAGTCCCCTCTGTTCCCCCCTCCCCTTTCATCTCGTTTCCACCATCCCCCATCCCCTTCTTCCACAACCCATCCCAATCCCTGTGGGGAAGTTTGTGCCTCAATATAATCAATAAGTGCACTTTAAATAGGAAACCTCCAGCCCCTCAAAAACAAACAAACAAAAAAGTACATTTAAAAAGCCAACAAAAAAGCAAAACAAAAACAAAAGACACACACAAACACACACACAAAATAACAGGCACTCATCTGAAATTATGCAGTTGCGAGGGCCATAAAACCTCTACTAAAACAAAACTAAATTAAAGAAACAAACTTAAAGTGTGCTGTAAATAAATCGTATCTATCTACTTTTACGAACTGATCATTTCCTTCTCATTGCAGACGCACTCTCTGAAAGACTTCCCTTCTTTCCCACCACAACTGCAAAATGACGTCGTCAATATACGGGTTCATCACACTGTCCGTGGTCGCGCTCATCTCGCAGACGACCTGTCGCTCCCTGGACCTCCTCCTTGACGGAGACTTCAACAATGGCCTCGCTTCCTTCGACGGATCTTCCAAGTGGTCGCGCCTCCCCCTGGAATTCCTGGCAGCATTCGACCTTGACCCGCACCAAGCACAAGGTCAACATCTCGCCGAGGCGCCGGAAGCACCGCTGATGGAGGCCATGAAGAGGTCACGTGGTCCGTCGCCCAGAAGGCTGAGGTCTTACCTGAGGCGCGCCGCAGGACTCAGAGGGATGAAGAGAAAGATGTTCTGGCAGCCGTTGGGATACATGCCAGCTTCTGCGCGTGCGCATAACAACGTCCCGGAAGTGGTGAACGAAAACAGCCAGGACTCCGGCACGAATGTCTTCAGATACGGCTAAGTGCCAAGACTTTATTGCTTCTATACAACACAGCCCTCCTTGACTAAGCTCTTTTCATTCTGTCGGCATAGAAAACAATCTCAGACTCAGATCAAGTTACTTCTGTGAAGGTTAAGTGATCTTTTTTTCAGGTGCCAAACGAGATCAATGGTAATCGCTTTTAAGTGATAGTGACGGTGTATTCTGTGTATTCATGTTAATAAATTGCAACAGACCTATAGGATTAAGTAAACCTTGAAAATTAAAATTAATAATTTAAAAAAAAACAACTTATATTCATTATTAACAGAATGAAGAAATGTAAAACTAGAACATCGCTATTTTTGCACAAACCAAATGCTGTTGTTCGCTTGATTAGTTTATCCTTATTAAAGTCAATCAGTAAAGGGAATAATTCATATTCGATACATTTTATTGAGTAAAGAGAAGCATTTCGACACAATAATAGTCTTTTCATTTAGTAAAGTAGAAAAAGTAAGAGAGAGAAAGAAAAACAGAGGGGAAGAAAAGAGGTAGGGCGTACCAGTGGCGCCCACCAGTCACCCTTGAGTCGTTTTTCCAAAGTGTACAGCGATCAACCAGAATCTACATAGTGTCTTTGATTATATATGTATATTTGAAAGAACTACTAGACGCACGTAATACATTGAAAGCACATCTTTACATGAAAAGCAATAAATAATTCCACTTTACTGATCCCTAGGGGGACATTTGATTTACTTTGGCGTAACATGATATATATCATACAAACATAAAAAAGATACAAAAGACCTTATCAAACAGATAAAAACTACAGAAAATCCATTGCTGGTCGCCACTGTGCAGCACCCTGTTTCATGAGTTGAGGTTTTCGTGTCTTGCCCAAGGACACACCCCAGTGGCCACCCACCGAAACACTGAGTCAGAGGAGAAGAGTGCAGTGTGTCAACGAGTAAACACCAACAAAATATATTTTGAGAAAAATTCTATTACCTGTTGTGAGTTGTACGTTCTTATATCCTGTTCTGTGGTGTTCTTGTTTGTTTGGTTGTTCATTTTTGTTTGTTTTCGTGTTTCTTGCTTCGTTTTATTCATTTTCCACAAAGCTCACAAAGTTTAGTTTCAGTCAGACTTTTACGGGCAATTGCAACTCAAATACGCTATTTCAGTTCCGATGAGTAGAGGTGACACAAGAGAGTAACATACACTAAAGAAAGAAGGACGAGAAATAAGAATGATTGTAGTTTGATTGGACAAAGGGGACACACGACACCATAGCACCAGTCAACTGCCAACGTAGTTTATTTTGGTTTAGCGTTTTCAACACAGATATGTCAGAGGTGTTACTTGAGAGTATAATACACAAAAAATGGAGGAGATATGAGAACGATAGTTGTTTGATATGAAAGAGGGAGCATGCCACACCCGAGTACCCCCTGTCCACCCACCAACTCATGAATGTGTCCTGCTCCAAAGTTAGACCGAAGGGCTAGAACCCAAATGGCCGCTGGATCGGAAAAGTAAACGTAAAATAAGTCCTGCTCCAAAACAAATTAATGTTTCATGTATGTGTGTTGTACTTTGTTGTTCCATGTCACTTTGATTTTTTTAAAGAGAAAGGACCTCCAAATTATTAACATCAAGCTCCAAGACGACTGAGTTAAATGTAAAAATTCTGTAAAGTGTCTTTCCCAAGAATCCAATTTCAGTTTTAGTACAATGTTTTCATGGCACTTGAAACACAAATTCAACATAAAAGCGTCGAAGATTAGAGGCGTTACTAGAGCGCTAAGAAAAAAAAAGCAATAACAAAAAAATGGAGAGATGAGGATGATAGATGTTGGAAGAGATAAAGATGATAGATGTTTGAGGTGATAAGGGTGATAGGCAAAGAAAAAAGGAAACAAACGAAATGAAGAGATAAGGATGATAGATGTTGGAAGAGATAAGGAGGATAGATGTTTGATAAGATTTGCAAAGCAGGAGCAAACACGACAAACGTGCCTGACCGTCCACCAGCCTCTAATGACGTGAAACAAAAATATTCTCTCATTAACAATTTAACCTAAATCTTAATATTCAGCAACGGGCTGTGGGTAATTTCGGTCAGACGTAGGAAACACAGCATTGCTATTTATTTTTCGATTTCAACATGCTCACCCCAGAAATTCAAGATACCCGTCAATATAAATAATTGTCTAGGAAAAGATATGCTGGCTTGTAGGTCTACTTCACTTGGTCATAATAACCATGATCGTTGATAATTGGATTCTTTGCAAAAGATAAAGTTTCCAGCTCACTTTGACAAGAACATTTCAATAAAATTGCCTCCTCGATCCTGTATATCAGTGGCCTAACCCAACAGAGTGGGAGTATTTTTTATTTTTTATTATTTTTTGGGGGGTAGAGGGGAAAAGGGGGAAGGGGTAAGTGTTTTACGACGCTCACAACCTCAAAAGATCATGAGATGATATGAGCGCGCTGGCCATATTAAACATTTTCAGTTGGTAGAAAATGTTGACTTTTGCCGAAGCCTACACTTATCGATTTTGAACCAAGGGATCTTTAACGTGTGCAACTTGTGCAGGGACCTCCGTGATTGTTTGCCCTTTTCCTAGAAGACCAGGTGTTAGATCTTACCTACGCTAAGATCAGGGGAGCGGCTGAAAGAAAACAGTAAGAAGGAGCCAAGTTCAAGGAGTAGCAGCAGAAAGGCTGCAGAAAGAGCCAGGAGCACAAAGGAAGGGGCAAAGAAGGTGAAGGGGTGACGGCAGAAAGTGGAAAGGGAAGCAGACGACAGAACATTGTTAGAGAGCTGGAAAGGGGGTTAAAGGAGAAAACTTTGGAGAAGAGAATTTCCCATTGCTTTCCGGATTCGAACCCGGTGTTACGTTCTGGCTATGTTTATAGCTTGACGAATAATTATGTACTGTGCTCACAAACAAACACAAGACCTCTGTGAGAGTAAGTAGTAACGGAAGTTGTTTATATATTCACAAAAGGGTCACGGCACGACCTAGAAGCGTTACAACATTGTTGGCCTATTAGATCCAAGCTACGTAGGTACACTCATGACATCCCCCCCCCCCCCCCCCCGTTTTAAAAGTTACCTTATCCTTTTTTAAATGATGTTGAAAATCAACCTTGGGAACGATAGTTCTTGATGACATCATGACTTGATTACACTCAGAAATGTATCCAGAGGCGAGTTAGTGTTAACACTTAAACTGATCAGCTCTGGTAGCTTTTACTTTAGTGTAAAATGCCTAGTGTACTTTGCATGAGTGTTGTGGTCAACAGTGAATCACATTTTCAATAACTTTGCCAACAACGACCATCTGTTTGGTTTTCTTACTGTGCGACCACTGACGTCTAGTAATATAATGTGGAGCCTTGTGTGCCTCTGAGTGTTTCGGTGAAGGAGGGGTGCCTCCACGACCAGGAGTGTGTTCGTGCACTTCTTGATCCTTTTGTGGAGATTTGCGAACTTGACTGATGGTCTGGGCGCTTGAGGTCCAGCTTGATCACATACGATGGGGGTTGGGACAATATGGTGTACATTGCTTGGTATGAACAACCCTCGCACTGGTCTGGTTGGAGGTCATGATGAGGCTTTCCTGACTGCAAGAGGGGCTGTCAGTTTCTGCGAAGCAGCCCTCTCTTTGTGTTGATGACGTAATACCTATTATCTACTTGCTCTTTTACTTGAGCTGCGACTGTCTCGGTACCTGGTGAAGGACTGGGTTTTTAAAAAGTCGCGACGTCTTTTGTGTGACTGTTGTAGTATTTCGCTTTGCGGTACGCTTCCTGGAAACAACTGCAGTAAACCGTACGCCTTTAAGGTCAATGTGGTCTTGACGGTTCACGTGTTATGAGTGCACTCACGGTACCCTTGACGGATGCACTGCTCAAAGAGAAATGTGAACAATGAAAACGGCAACAATAGCAAAGGCATATGTTGTAAAGCTTACCTGCTATTTAAAATGGGGAAGTAGATGTTAGTTCTGCTCTTCTGACACTATGATATGTTCTGGCTATGTTTATGGTTGACGAATGATTATGAAACGTGCTCACAAACAAATTCAAGACCTCTGTGAGAGTAAGTAGTAACGGAAGTTGTTTCTGTATTTACAAAAGGGTCACGTTACGACCTACATGGGTTACAGCGTACAGACTTCAACATAAGCCAAATTTGCTGTTTTTTATCGACTTGTGTGCCACACCATGGACATTCCTCAGCTAAAATTTTTCGTGCACGTCATAAATGGACGTATGGTCTCGAACTTTGCTCACTTTGGTGGCTATAAAAGCCGACGTTTGCTCAAAATCCAGCATCACACGAAAATGCCACCAAGACCAAAGCTGAGAGACTTTTTCGTTTTGTTTTTGTTTTTGTAAGTGTTTTTACGGGGCTCACAACTGCATAAGGTCATATGTGCGCGCGGGACACATTAAACTTTTTCAGTTGGTAGGAAATTTTGAATTTTGCCCGCGTGGCGGCCGAAGCCTACTCTTATCGATTTTACACCATCAAGGGATCATTAACGTGCGCAACTTGCACACGGGCCCTCCGAGATTTTTCGCCCATTTCCGAGAAGGCTAGGTGTAGGTCTTTCCTACCAGAAGACCAGGGGTGTGGCTGAGAGACAACAGCAAGAAGAAGCCAAGGAGTAGCAGTAGAAAGGCTGTAGAAAGAATTAGGAGCCCATAGTAGGGGGGCAAAGGAGATGAGGGAGTGGGGGCAGAAAGAGGAGACGAAAGCAGACGACAGAACATTGCTAGATGGCAGGAAAGGAGGTGAAAGGAGACAAATTTAGAGCAGAAAATTTTTCGGTCAGTTCCCGGATTTGCACTCGGGACCAACACCTTAACTTCTAGGCTGCGAGAGCCCCCTGAGAGACTTTGATGGTGCCGGATCTATGACCTGGCTGCAGGATGGAGTTGGGGCCCAAGAAGTTACCAGAAGGCTTTCAGTGTCACACTCTGTCATTGTCCGCTTGAGGCAGCGCCAATAAACCACTGGAAAAGTCCTAGAACGCCCTCGTGCAGGTCGACCCAAGAAGACAACTCAGAGTGTTTGCTAGTGGTCCTTAACTTATGTTGAAGTCTGTAGTTGGCCAATTAGGTCCAAGCTATTGATGTACACTCATGATGCCCGGGACCAAATTGAAGGAGAGGCGAACACCGTAACATCTCGATCACGGGGGCCCCATAGACTGGGATACAGCTTCTCATTAGAAAGTTGAAGATGCTTGATAACATGAGTCACGACACTGGAGGATCAGGAGCTTGTCATATAGTACTAAATATATATATATATGTTTTTTGTTTTTTGTTTGGGTTTTTTGTGGGGGGGGGGGGGGGTAAGTGTTTTACGGCGCTTGCAACTACGTAAGGTCATACGAGTGCGCGGGACACACCTAACAATTTCAGTTGGTAGGAAATTTTGAATTTTTCCCAGGTGGCGGCCGAAGCCTACTCTTATCAATTTTAGACCACCAAGGGATCATTAACGTGCGCAACTTCCACACGGACCCTCCAGAATTTCCTGCCAGAAGAATAGGGTGTGGCTGAAAGACTGCAGTAAGAAGGAATCAAGGAGAAGCAGTGGAAAGACTGCAGAAGAGTCAGAAGCCCAGAAGAGGGGGTGAGGGGGTGATAGCAGAAGGTGGAGACGAAAGCAGACGATAGAACTTTGCTAGAGAGCAGGAAATGAGGTGAAAGGAGACAATTTTAGAGAAGAAATTTTTTCAGTCGCTCCCGGATTCGAACCCGGGACCTTTGAATGAGAGGCGAACACCATAACCTTTAGGCCATGAGAGGCCCTGAAGATTTATCAAATGTGGTGTTACAAACAAGAGGATGAAAAAAATACATATAGAATGAGTAAATATAAGGACAAAAGATCTTTGATTAGATAGGAAAGAAGAAGCAAAGCACACCAGAGCACCCACCAACCACCCGCAGTATAAGAGGGCAGACGTGAC